CGAATATACGAACCTCCTCCTACCTCTCATCCCCCTTCTCTCCCCTGGCCTCAAAGATTCGCAACGGTTAATTTTCCGCCTTTACAGTTAAACGCCGTCCATCATCTCTCACACTTCCCCCCACCCACTCTGCCATGCCCTTTCTGGGCGATCAGGGGTAGAAGAGCGGCATCACTTGCCTCGCCGCCTCTTGCCAACACGCGAAGCGAGACGCAATCCGTCCTCCCCTCCCAACGATTCGTTCCTTCTTGCACGATCCCTCGACCTACCCTGTCCTCCACCGTGTGAATGCTTTCTCACCGGTCCTTACGCCATTAGTCCAGCTGAAGCAACAAGTCAAGCTCACGTCCAGGGTCATTAGCGATCCATTAGACCAAGTGAGGGCTCGTCTTCTACATGCTCTCATTTGCAACGAGTGTCCTTCCCGGCACTATCCAGAGCGATCGTCCATCACCCGGTCTGCGATCAATTTCTCGCCAGCGAACAATCTCATGACGACATCTCCGAACATCAGTTCGTTTTCCTAACATTGATCTGCGCTTCATTGAGCAGATTGCCTATCTTCTCCACCAATCCGCACATCGCTGGCCGGGCTCGATCGTCCTCCCGGAGACACTTACTCGCTAAACGAAGCGTCCCGGTAACCATACGGCTGAACCTGACTTGGGCCGCCTGATCGCGCAAACAAGGGTCCAGAAATTGGCACGGCATCTCGACAGCGACGTGTGCTCTTTTCAGAAACGGCTTCGCCCAGTCCACTAGGGTTTCCCACCCAACCCCAGACGGTGCCTTCGCCACGGCCTTCCGCCCTGTCAACAGCTCCAGAAGAATAACGCCGAAAGCGTACACGTCATTCTTCTCCGAGAGAATTCCTCCCATCATGCCCTCCGGGGCAATGTAACCGAATGCCCCGGCCATCTGCAAGGACTTCACCACCGTCTCGCGCTCGGTGCCGAACACTCTCTCTACCATAGTCGCAAGGCCGAAATCCGCCACCACGACGTGCAAATTCTGCTCGCAGCCATCGCCAAGGAGCACGTTGCTGCTCTTAATGTCCCCATGGATGACTGGTAGATCGGCACCGTCGTGAAGGTAGGCTAGGCCCTTAGCGATTTGCAAGGCGATGCACATCCGCTCTACAAGCGTCAGAGGCGGGATGGAAGCTTTCTCCGAAACGGCTTGCACTCTCTCGTGCAGCCGAGCGAACAAGCTGCCCCCCCGAAAGTGGGGGTGCACCAAGATCGAGCGATTCCCTTCGTGGCAGTATCCGACGAGTCGCATCAGGTTGGCGTGATGGACTCTACTCAGCGTGTTAACTTCGGCCACGAACATGCTTCTCTTCTCCGCTGTCAGATTGCCTGTCATCACCTTGATCGCCAACTCGTTGTCGCCATCCTTCGAACCCCAGTAGACATTACCAAACGCCCCGCCGAGCCCGATCCGGTGGCTCTCGCTGAAGTTCCGAGTACAATACGACAGAGCTTCGAGCGAGAACTGCTTCATCTTAGGGGGATAAAGCCCCGCTCCCTCCCGCACGATCCCGGCCACCCCCGACGACGAACCAGTCGATGGCACGATGTTCGCACTGCCATTGGTCCTCAAGATAGACTTCGCCTGTTCCTCCTGGCGGGCATGCCGATTTTTTCCGAAAATGAGGAAGCTGGCAACAGTCGCCACACCAAGGAATGCGAGAATAGATAATGGGAGAGCTACGATAAAAGCTAGATTGCGAGATCTCCTCATCGTTGCTGGAGAGGCAGCGAGCTCGCCGGACCCGGAAGCTGAAACGAGGGGTGAGGAGTCAGAGGCGGGGACGTCGGGGTCAGGAGAAGACTGGGAGGTACCGACAATCGATGTCCGGACAGGCGCGCACGCGTGCAGCTGAGAAACATTTATTTTGAGCTCAGTCAGCGAGCCGTCCTCTGCCGCGACGTATAGGCAGTAGTCACTGCCGGATTGATGGAGCCTCAATGTTTTTAACCCGCCGCGGTAACGTGCTACAGTCTGCACCCTTCGAGCCGGGGAGCACGGCGAGTCCAGCTGTACCCAGCGAACTAAACCGTAATAAAAGTCAGTGATGAAGATGTTGCATCCATCCGGAGTCGCGGCGAGGCTTGTCAAGTTGTTGAAGGAGGCGTTGAATCCGTCCTTATCATCTACTCCTCTCGACCCGGATCCAGYCACGAGTACGGGACTAGGGGGGTCAGAGGCAAGGGGATCGATTCCCCACACACGAAGGTCATCGGAGTTCAGGAAATAAAGGCAGCGCTCGTCTGAGACTAAGCTCTGTGAGCCGAACCTTACTTCTTTGATATCGGGATCGTCGCCGAGAGAGAATGTTCTTATTTCTTTCAATTGTGAGCCATCTATGGGCATCCCTGACTCCTGCACGGGAGTGGATAGAATCCGAACCGGCTGCATACCAACAGCTATGTAAAGCTTGGTCTTGTTCGGATTGAACGTCAAACTGGCAGCAGCACTTAGCATTATCGTTGTAGAGGTTCTATTGCCATTTATTGTCGACAACGCAGAGAGCTTGGAATAAGCTCCCCGACTACCACTATACGGGTTTGACAAGACGATAAGGCTCTCCCCGGTTCGCGCCATATCCATGCCGTAAATGTCGGCCATCGACAGGCTGTCGTTTGAGCCAGGTTGCAAGATGTATGGATTCTTCTCAGCGGATCCGCTTCTCTCGTCGGAAGGCCACCAGTAGCTGAGTACCTCCCCCCGAGCAAGGCCACTAGGGTCGTGGTTGGCTTGAGCGAGATCTACTTTCCAGACTGACTCGCGGATATCTAAAGCCTCGTTCTGCATCGAGACGAATTCCGAGAAAATGGCGTAAAATACCGTACTTCGGGGAGCGAACACTAAGTCATAGAAGAAAGATTGGCACCTGAGCTCGTGAGTGCCTGTGCACGCGAATGGAGGAGTGCTCGTGCGGAGCCACACGAATCGGCTTGACGAAAACAGAGTGGTGTTCATCAGAATGATCCCCGCCCGCGGCTCCGGCTTGGACTCGGCCGGAGCTGACGAAGCCAGTGACGCGGGCTGAGGAGCTGACGAAGCTGCAGACGAAGGCAGAGCGGCCGAGGAAAGATCGGACGAAGCTGCATACGAGAACGGAGCCGGCGAACCCAGAGAGGGCGCAGCTGAGGAAGCCACAGACGAGGGCGACGCAGCTGACGAAGCCCTAGTCGAGGGAAGGGCTGACGAAGCCGCAGACGTGGATGCGGCCGGCAGCGAAGCCACAGACCCCACACCCAAAATATGCCTTCTGGGCGAGAGAAGCCGGCGTCCACGCAGATCAGCAGGAGTTATAGCAGGCATCTCGCCATACACCGGCCTCTCCTCCGTGGCCACCGCGTGAGATCTACCACTCATCTGGGCCATCACAAATAAGAGGAAATATCCCATCGATAGAATGCGCAAACGGCTAGAGCGTCGGAAGCAGGAAACATCACGAACCTGCCCTAACTCCGTGCGAGCGTCCATCGACTCAACATATACACGGACACGTAATCTATAGAGATTTTACAGCACGTGCCAAAACAAACACGAAAACAAGCAGTACAAACTACTAGCGTACTCATTGACTGGCAAGAGCCATCGCTTTCAGCACGAAGCTTGGCTCCCTTTGGGAATGGGAAAGACAAGCACATCAGTCTCCACGGATTTGGAGAAGACAAAGGGCCTC